AGGGCCGGCCCCCGGCCCCCCCCGTAGAGTGCGGTGCTAATAACACCAAGGCCCCGGGTTCGGATCCCACATAGGGATGGCTGGTTCGCTCACTGGCTGAGCGTGGTGCTGACAACACCAAGTCAAGGGTTAAGATCCCCTTACCGGTCATGTTTTAAAAAAAATAAAAATTAAAAAAAAATTTTAAAAAAACAACTTTAATTGGGGAGTCCAGAGTCACTAAACAGAATTCAGAAAGGAGAGATTTTTTTTTTTTAAAGTTGACAGTGTCAGAAAGCTGTCTCCCAGAAGACACAACTCATTATACATTGGATAACTCATGAAAGTGATCATATCAATATTGTGATAGTATAGAAGCTTCCAGTCAAAGGTCACTGTTTAGTAAACATTTAGAAGACCTAAGGGCTGGCCCCGTGGCTCACTTGGGAGAGTGTGGTGCTGATAACACCAAGGCCATGGGTTCAGATCCCTATGAAGGGATGGCCAGTTAGCTCACTTGGGAGAGCATGGTGCTGACACCAAGTCAAGGGTTAAGATCCCCTTACCAGTCATCTTTTTAGGAAAAAAAAAAAGAGAGACCTAAACAGGAGAAAAATTCTATTGTTGTAGCAAATGAGTGAAACATTTCATCAAGAAAGTACAACTCACTTAACACTAGAGAGTGCTTACAGAAAGGAAAAACTGAATATTAGAGATTTCATACTGAGGAGTAGTCCTAATAATCTGAAGAATTTGATAAGCATGACACTATTGAATTGATTCTGTAAGGAAGTTATTGTGTTCATGTATGTTAATTATTACAAAAAGTAGTCAATTTTAAATGGTAGGTATGTTTACTTAAGTGTGAAGACTTCTGCTTTCTACCATGGTAGAATAACAGGGATTAGATTAACTCTCCTTAGACTGCTAGAAACTATACAATATACATGAAGTAATGGTTTTTAGACATATGACAAGCACAGGTTTGTAATCATTGGCAGAAGGTAGTCAAAGTGAGGTGAGCCCTACAATTGCCCAACCTGCTCCCAGGTGGCAGTTACCAGGTTGCAGTTCAGGTTTATTAGTCCATTTCTGTTGCTTATAACAAAATACCTGGATCTGGGTAATTTAGAAAGAAAACAAAAACTTATTGCTTACAGTTTCTGAGGCTGGGAAGTCCAAAGTCCATGTGGAGAGACTCTCTTCTCTCTTCTTTTAAAGTCCTCAGAACTACGCCCCTGACCACCATTTTTAATCCATTCACTACAGCATGGCCCAACAGAGTCTAATCACCTCTTCAAGGATCCATCTTTCAATTACCATGATAGGATTTCCCACCCTCTTACCAGTCACAGTGGTTACTATGTTTCTAATACATAAACTTGGGGGACACAATTCAAACTTCAATGAGTTTTGGGAGGACATAATTCCACTGCATCAAGGAAGGGAGTAAACACAGCCTTGGTGAACTGAAGAATGGGATTGGCATTTAGGGAGGCCACGGTAGCTGGAATGTACTGGGTAAGTACTGGAGAGAAGGGAGCTTCCCAGAGATAGGGCTCCAGATATCTTTGAGGAGTCACCTTGAGTCCTTTCCCTTAGTGTCAATCTGCACATGTGTGAAAAGAAACTTCCGGAGACCAGGAAAAGAAGCACTGGAAAGCAGTAGGCTGAACAATTCCTGGAGCTCACTCAGGGCTGGGAATGGTTAATGTTCCTACCAGCCAGAGAGGAAACAATCCATAACACATTGGCATCAGGTAGAATTCAGGTATTGCTTTAATAGTGAGGGTAATTAGCCCTAGACTAAAAGCTACTCTGGATCTACATGTCTGGCATCCAGAAAACTTACTGGCATGGAAAGAAGCAAGAAAATATGGCTCATAATCAGGAGAAAAATAAACCAATAGAAACAGACCCAGAAAAGGCAGAGGTGATAGAATTAGTAAACAAAGATGTTAAAATAGCCATTATAAATATAAAGCAGGGGAAAACAAATTTGATGGAACCCAAGGTGTAAGATATATTTTTAAAGGCCCAAATGGAACTTCTAGGGGGAAAAAAATCTGAAAAAAAAATATAAATGCCAGGTGGAAGTAAGAGCAGATTAGACACAGAAAAAGAAAAAAAAATCAATGAACTTGAAGAATAAGAATTAAAACTATCCACATGATGTCAGAGAGAAAAAGATAAAGGAGAGAGAGAACAGGAGGACAGTTACAGTGGTCTAATCTATGTGTAACTGGAGTCATAGAGGAGAGAGAGAAAAAGAAGAAGCATAAAAAAGTATTTGAAACAAACAAAAAACAAAAACAAACTTTAAGAAAGTATTTGAATAAATAATGGCTGAAAATTTTCCAGATATGAAAACTATAACCCCACATATTCAAGAAGTTCAAAGAACCCAAAGAAGAAGAAATACAAAGAAAATCACAGCAATGAACTTCATAGTCACATTGATGAAAACCAGTGATAAAGAGAACAATTTTAAAGCACCAAGAGAAAAAAAAAAGACAGTGCATACACAGGAACAGAGAGTGGCAGCATACTTCTGGTCAGAACCATGACAGCCAGAAGACAATGGTGTCATATCTTTAAATTACTGAAACAAACAGCAATAAACTCTGCAGCCTAGAATTCTTTTTTTTTTTTTCCTTTTTGTCTTTTTTTCGTGACCGGCAACGGATCACAACCCTCAGTGTCGCGCCCATACCGGACCGGGACCGGCATCAGGATCGCAACCCTCGGTGTTGCGCCTGCACCTTGCTCAGCCAGTGAGTGGCCGGTCTGTATGTGGGATCCGAACCCTCGGCGGAAGCGCCGCCACGCTCCCAAGTGGCACACTGTAGCAGTGCGCCACCAGGCTGGCCCTGCAGCCTAGAATTCTATTTCCATCAAAAACACAGGCAAAGTAAAGACTATTACATAGAAACAAAATCAAAGAGAATTTATCACCTGTTGACCTGCCTGCAGGAAACATTAAAGGAAGTTTGGGGGCAGCAGGAAAATAATGCAAAGTGGAAATTTGGATCTATACAAAGGAATGAAGTTCTGGAAATGGTAACTATGTAAGAAAATATAAAAGATGTTTTTCTCACTTTAAAATCTTTTTAGAAAGGAAACTGCTTAAAGCCAAAGCAATGATAACGTATTTTGGGCTTATTATATATTTGGAATTGGCATGTATGGCAACAATAGCACTTAAGTATGAACCCTTAAAAATATTTCAAAAGGCTGCATCCTCCAAGTCAGAAAACTGTTTCCTCAGGGCCTGGGGTGACTTGTGTTGTAGCAGCTGTTCAGCAGGAATTGTATGTGCTGTGGATCCGTGTATGTGCTGATGACTCTCCTTCTCCAGATCCATTTTCCTCCCTTCTCTGCTGTGCACCTCCCAAGACTGCTTCCCTGGGATTTCTTCCTGGGTTTGAACAAGAAGAACCATTAAGAGATCAGAGGGTGGGAGGAGAGAGAGATTGCAGTATTTATTACCTCTCCCTCTCTACCTACTGGACCATAGTGTTGGTGGTTTTTGTGTGACAAAATGCTCATGAAGTCTTATGCTCCCTGTGGGCAACCCTTCTGTGGGTGCAGATCTCTCCAGCTTCAGTTAACAGCATTCCCTCTCTTGCTCTTCAGACTTAGGAGAGATAAATTACTTCTGGGTGCTTCCTGATCACTGCTTGGCTTTCTCTAATTTTGAACACATCTGTAAATAGTCCATTTTTAAAATGTTCTTGAGTTACTATTTTGAACTTGCCATCTGTTAAATGATGAGCATTTAATAAAACCAAGCATCAGTAACTGGTACATGAGCCTCACAGGGCACAGACTGACATCTGCCAAGATTTCCCACACTAGATATTAATTTTTTTCTCTTCGTATTTTAACAGTACAGTAGAAATTATAACAAATAAATTTCTTTGTGTGCTTTTTGCTACATATGTAAATGGCTCTGGAGACTGTTACTATCTGCTGCATATGTAAATGAGACTGTAGTTATTACTAACTACAGTAATAGTCTTCAGTAATAGAACCAAAATGCTTATAAAGTCTTATGCTACCTCTGGGTTAGCCAAATGACCTACAAAAAGCATTGTTATTTAGGTTAAGAAACAGGATAACTGGTTAATGAGTGAAGAAAGAAGGGAAGGATGCAGTTAAAATATCCCTGTCCACATTCTGTTGTTCTTTATGAAGTGTAGTTCATGTAATCTGTAACATATGGGCAAGACTTGCCACTTCGGTAGACAAAATCACTTTAGAGACTTCTTCAAAGGCTCCACACCCCCATTCCCATCAGCTTCCATCACAAATACTGTGCCAGAAGAAAAATCGACTTTTCTAAGGTTAAACCAGAGTTGCTTCACTTATGATCTCATGAAGCATAATAAATTAAGTTGAAATAGACTGCAGAGAGGGCCAATGTACATGGCACCATCCGCTATCATTTGTTAAATATCTCCCTAAAGAATTTCACCTCCCTTTATGCGCTCTTGCCCAACCACTGTGTCCTCCTGGGTGTGAGAGAAGTGATTGCCTTCAGGCTACACAGAGGTGTCTTTTCTTTTAGCTGGCTTTGCATTTTAGTCTTCACTTTGAAGATCTTTATGCAGGTTTTCATTTTTGGACAACTCCAGGAGGCACCATTCACATTGTAGCCTGCGCTAATAAACTGTGCATCACTCTGGTCCTGTCTTTAAGAAACTAGCTAGCGAATGAAATGAATACTTTGAGACTTGTGCATAATTGGAATACAGAATTGTGAGTTACCTGTAATTGTTTCTTTGTGATAGTTCTATAATGATCTGTGTATGAGAGTAAAGCAGTTTCTACCATCAGGATTCTCCCATGGCCCCTTTAT